TTCCTTTCAGTATTTATGGCCTTTCTTTTCCCAGCAGAACACGTACACACACACCTGGCAGTTTCCTGCCTAACGAGGCCAGAACGATTTGTGCGCTGGTGCTGGGCTAGAGGGTGCCAATAATGGTGGAAGGAAGATGTTAGACTTCTGGAATGGAATGTTCGGGGGGAAACCATCTGCCTGGAAATTACTGTGAGAACAGTTTTTGTGAGAATTAGGGCTTTGTTTATTGGTTCCCAAGCTTGCATCCCACTAATCAGTGTATCTCCAAGAATCTGGGTCCCAAGATGACAGAACCAAACAAACAAAATCACATTTTAAAATTGAGGAAATATTGGTTTAAACATTGTTTACAATACACTGGAACAGGATCACACTTCTTCCGTGTATGTTATCACCCACATCCACAACCAAGGCACCCAAAGTCCTCGACCGCAGTCCAGTGGAGTCCCTTTCTACCTGCTCTCCAGCCTCAATTCCACAGTTAAACTTCGAGGGTTTGCTTTTGGTCTGTTTTTTTGGACCCTTTGTTTTGATTCGCTATACTTCATAATAAGTAAAACCATCCAGTATTTCGCTTGCTAGTCAGCCATTATGTATGTTAAATCACAGTAAGATTTCAGGACACAAAACTCTATGAATAAAGATGGAAGTACATTTTATGGTTTTGTCTTCAGAGAATAATGTTTGTAGTTAAAAATCTAATAATGCTGTAATATAGGATTTAATGCCACAAAATTTCAAGAGACAGATACAAATATGCTACATTTTTAGTAATATATTATTTTAACTAAACACAAGTAAAAATAATTATTCTTCTTGTGCTTAAACACTGCAATAAATGAGGAGTTTGGGGAAAGTGAAATCTTAGAAATTGGTGAGGAATCCTGTGTACTTCTACTTAATAAAATGCAGAATACCCTGTTGGCACAACTATCAATAAAGAAGCAGTGGGTTAGACTTATGACATTCCCTTCAAATTCAAGGTCTTAAAAACTAGAAGAGTGGTTCTTAGAAAGTGTAGCCCCTGGACCAGCCTTCAGTATCACTTAAGAACCTGTTGGAGGACCTCCTGGTGGAGCAGGGGCTCGATGTCAGCCCTACCAAAGCTACCGGCAGCTGGGTGCCATCCCCGGCCAGGGAGCTGGCCCACATGGCACAGCAGATCTCTCTTGTTTTGCCCGCTGCTCCCCTCAGCAGTGGTTTTCAGTGTATCCACCTGCTCTGCTCCCCACTCTGTCTCTGGTGAATCCTCTCACCCCTGAATCTCTGGCCTGTACCCCAGTTCTTGTATTCATAAATAAATATAGATCTTTTAAGAAGAAAAAAGAACCTGTTAGAAATCAAAACTCCTCCCACTTCCACCTGCTTACAATTCCAGGGACAGACTAATCACCAGTGATTTAGAAAACTATGGTAGCCAGCCTCCAGCAAGGGCCCCAGGGCCCCTGCCTGCTGGTCAACCCTGTGTGCAGCTCCATCCACAGCGAGGCTGACTGCGAGCAAGCAGAATATACCCCAGGATACCTTATGACTGTAGCCTCCTCCTCTATCTCTCTTGGATCCCTTGCTGTGGGGAAGCTGGCTGCCATGCTGTGAGGACAGTCAGGCTGTCCGTGAAGAGATTCATGTGGTGAGGAAGTAAGGCCTCTGGCCAGAAGCCAGGCTAGTCAGCCCAACAATAGCTACCTCAGAAGAGACAAGAGTCAAAGTCAACCAGCCAGCCTGCTCCTGATGCGCCCAGCTTTTCCTCCATGGCACTTACCACAGCTGTAATTATACCGACACACACCCCTGCCATGTCGTCACACACTGTGCTGAGCTCCCCGGGGCTGACCTGTGCCCCAGTGTTCAATGAATACCCAACTGGCAGTGGCTGCTCCCTTCCGTCCCCACTGCCCTTGTCCTAGAGGACATCCTCTAGGATGTCCTAGGCCACCTCTTGGATGACCTCTAATGTAAACAGGGCACTCTCCTGGGAATCTGAATGACATTGAGCACATTTCTATAAAAAGAAATCTTTTGTGTTCAAAATAGTGACCTTTAGAGGCCCTTTATTTTACAGTGTCGATTCACCAACACATACAAGGAAAATGAATGCAGTGGGTCTAGAAATATGAGGAGTCAAAAATGGGATGTTTTCATACAATGATGTGCGCATCAATCGAGAAAAGAGGTTCACTTGATGTGCCCCATGAGCGCTACCGGCTTCTCTCTGACAACGAAGGGCTTGCACACTCCCTGCTGGGCCACCGCTGGGCTGTGCACTCTGAGGCATGACCTTAGAACAGGGAGGGATGCTTGGAAAACTCTACAACAACAGCAACAGAAGCCACTTATTGATTTCTTAAAATTCTTCTGGCAGACAGACTGAGATATTGGTGACATCATTATACCAACACTTAAAACATCAAAGGAATGATAAGTCAGATTCTGGCTCTGAGCTTACTTCTGCGTGAGATCAGAGAGGAGATTCAAGGATTGCACATCAGCAGGGTCAAAGAGGGGGACTGGCCCCCAGCAGCATCTCCTGCCCACCCTCAGGGCAGGGTCAGGCTGAAATTCACAAGGGACAGAGGAGCAATCACTGTAATGTTGTCAGGTGACATCTTCTAACACATCTGTGTTCCCCAACACACAGTTCAGCCCATCCAGCGGGAGTTTCACTGACTTAAGTCCCAATGACTTGCTCTTTTTTTTTGGTGACTAGCAAAACTTAGCAGTGCTGAGCTACACATCTTTCGGTGACAGTGGAGAACCCTTCTACCTGCACTGCTCAAAAGAGTAGCCCCCAGGAGCAGCTGACCACCAAGGACTCAACAGAAGAACAGAAATTCTCCCCTTATTTAATTCTAGTTAATTTGAATGTCAGTAGCCATAGGTACTTAACAGCTGCTATGTAGGACAGGGTGGTGGTAGAAATAATAATAAAAGCAAATGAACTTGCTCACTCATCTTTAGAAAGGTTTATTATTCGCCTTCCCATTAATCAGAGAAGTCTACTTGAAGCTTGCGAGATTAAGCGGCTTGCCCAATGGTCAGAATGCTAGTAAATGGCAGAGAATTCACACTCTTGTCAAATCCAGCCAACACTCTGGCAATGACATCAAACTGCCTGCCCTTTGCTCACATGTGAGAAATCCTAATGGCAATCAGCAGCTTTTGAAATTCCAGATTTTCAGTGGATAGCTATAAAAGGGGGCTGGCCATATGGGGCAAGATTTCTTTCACAAAAGCATATGGGAAGATATTTGTCTCTGACGATGAATATCTTAAGTTGAATCTTTCAAAGGACATGCTAATAATAAGCATATCTGACAGTCCCCACTGTGCTTGGAAACTTTGCTCTAATCAAATATTAGATGAATTTCTGAAAAGGCAATAATATGAAAAATACTTTATTAAACTTCTGTCACATCCTATTATGCTGTCTAAGCATTATTCTACCCTGTTTATCCTTTAATGACAAACTAGATTATGCTTTCTTTCCTAGATCAATAGGGACTTACGAAACTACACAGAAGATAAAGACTTAAGAGTTTCAGAAGATAATTTGGAAACAAAGAGTGTCAAAAACATGACTTGGAAGGGAGAGGCCTCTGTCTAAGAAAATAGGCAGAGTTGGGCCCTCCCTGGTGGTGCAACGGGTTAGGACGCAGCACTGCAGGCTGGCTGCAGCCGCGTCAGTGAGAGTGATCGCACATGGCGGCAGGCCTCTCCTGACCCACCCGCTGCTCTTCTTAGCAGTGTACTTCATCAGTCAGCCTGTTCTGCTCCCCACTCTCTCTCTCTGGTGAAGCCTCTCACTGCCCCTGTACCTCTGGCTTGTACCCCAGCTCTGTATGAATAAATTAATGAATCTTAAAAAAAAAAAAGGACAATAGGCAGTCATAAATTCCATGTAAAATATTTCATTTATTGCAATAACAAAAACCCACTCTAGGAGCTGCAAGCCTCAATTCAGATACATGACGTGTCCATATGCAAAACTGTCACCAAAGCAGTGTCTCCCCCATAAGTCTCTCTTGATTCACTGATACCCTCTGTAAGGTCTACGTTGTACATTCATTGAAACTGAGATGCAGAACAGTTATTTTGTAGATAAAACTAATATCCCCTGGTTATATTATAGTTCTCGAATTGACAGGAGGATGTAAGGAAGGCTAACATATCTAGTCAGATAAAATCAAAGAAATGAGGCAACAACAAACTGAAACACAGATAAAGAGAGGGGGTAAGACCACAGACTTTGCGATTCAAATCCAGTCTGCAAAAACAGTCTAAACCAAGTGTAACAATCTCCTATGAAATCCATTTTTGAGTTACACTCCTGGACTCAGACGAGACCTTTACAAATCACAGAATTAGGACCTTCTCGTCAAAGCCCAAGCCTATCAGTTCTCTTGTAACACACAGCATGATCATGTGGTCACAAATTTAGTTCCTCAGCCTGGCATCAGGACAGCACTGCAATTTCAATGAAGGTTTCAATGGATTCACAGCATAGACCTTCAGGTGGGCTGCACAGTAGGTATGGGTGAATCAAGAGAGACTGAGGGTGGTGCAAGTGGGTGGAAGGACAAAGATGCTCAAGGTGGGGTCCAGGTGTTACCTTTCCCCGCAATTGGCGGGTCCTTGACTTTTCTGACTCATAAACTTTAGCAAAGGTGCTTCTGGGAAGGACTCAGTTTTAAGAAAGTATCAGTTTTTATTTCTTATCTTTGGGAACAAATGCTTGTGAAACACAAGAACCACCAACCTAGCCCATCCTGATCCGAAAAATTATGATAAAATAAAATAGCTCTTGCTTTACATCTTGAAATTTGGGGAGAGTTTGATATGTGTATGTCAATCCTTAGAACAGTCTTTCACTTTCATTTAATTAATCTATTTCCCCCTCTACATCATTAACTGCTTATATATCGTGACCACATCTTTATGATACATCAGGCCTAATCCTGCCGCCCGCTGAACCATTCTCATTTTTATTATATACCTACCAATGAAGCCAGAAGATGGGGGGTTGGGCTGAATCTTCTCCTTAGTGTTCTCCTGGATAATATCCCAAAGCTGCCATATGAATTTAGGATGAAGAATGTAAAATGGCTGCTTTGGGTTTCTCTGACGATGCTGAACATATGGAGTGAACAGGTTGTAGTCTGGCTTCTTGTACCACTAAGAGAGAAAAAAAAAAAACCTGCAGTCAAGAACAGAGGTCACACTACGAAAAGAAAATGGCAGCACCCAGGGGCATGTGTGCATGTGTGAGGGATGTGGGTGTGTGGGATGAGGGGGATTTAGAGGCTGAGGGGATAACTGGCTATGTATATGGAGGGTGGAGGTGATGACTCATCACTTTCAGATACTTCTTCACTAGATGAAGGACTGAGTAACAGAGAGAACAGGTTCGATCCCTGACAGGGACTGATGTTTCATTCTTCAGTAAAATACGGGAGATAGGCTAAGTAGGGCCAACTAACATTTCCATAAAGTTTATAAATAGTAAACTCTATAAGCTCTGTAGGCCATGGTGTTTCCATTGCAATAATTTAGCTCCACCACAGTGCTGTGGAAGCAGCAGACACAATGGTATGAGTAGACATGGCTGTGTTTCAATAAAACTTTATGACAAAAAATGAGGGCCAGATTTGGTTCATGGCTATGGTTTGCTGATCTCTCAACTCAGCCAACATATTTCAAAAATATGTTCTGCAAATTTAATCGATAGTGACAGAAAGCATATTAAGTTGTGGCCTGGAGAGGTAACTTTATTTCATTTTATGGTGGTGAATAAATTTGCTAACAGCCATCAAAATCTACATTTACGATTTTATATAAATTAATGTATGAAAAACTAAACAATAGTTCATTTTTATAAGATGTGCGTAGAAATGTTTTGGTTGCTACCAAGAAATGGGATTTGGAGGTGAGTGGGGAGAGGTATAGCCCCAAGGCTATAACACCTCACCTTCCTTCAAACACTTCAGGAAAATAATGGGAATATATCAAGATGTCAAGAACTATTCCATGGTTGGATGGGTTCTGTGACTTTAAAATTCTGACAAGTGCTAGGGCCAAATCATTTATTAGTAAGCCTTGTCATCAACCCTTGAGGCAGCAGCAGGAAGAACACAGGGCTGCTCCTTAGCCCTCCCTCTATGTGGTCTTCAATGGAAATTCCAAAGCACAGGTCCCACAGAAAGCAGCCCTGTCACTTGGGTTTCAGCTCTGTCACTGCTCACAGTCATCAGGCAGACAACTCTGTGCCTTAGGCTTGGATGTTTCAACACAGGAATGAATAAGGTCTAACAGAAGCTCTCAGTCTGTCCACAAACAGCAAGAATGTTGTCAGGGCTTAAAACGAGAGAACCTCAGGCTGAGAAGGAAGTTGAGTTCAAACACCCATTTGATCTTGACTTGCAGGAGATGATACATGTGAGAATCAACAGGAGAGTTTTCTCAAAAACACACATCAAGGCTGTGTGCTACATTTCTGGAAGCAGGGTTCAGACACGTATTTTGAAAATTACTCTCTAAGTGATTCTAATTTGCACTCCTTGTTAAGAACCAGTTAACAATCATGCTAGGTCAATATCCAGCCTCAGTTGCTCAAGAACAGTGACAGAATAGCTTTCAAAGACCCAAAGGGAGACTCCTTTAACCTTGGAAAGCTCTTTGGAAAGTTATCTCTTGGTGAGGCCAAGATCTATTCTCCACCTTCATCTCAGAATGTGTATCCTTATATCCTTTCTGGTCATGGCAGAAAAAGCAGAAAGGTACTTGTACTGGTACAGCCAAAAGCAATTTCCAAGATGTTTAATGACATCCATTTTTTTTTTTCCTGTCTTCACTGAAAAGTAAGCACCCTGGCTTTTCATTTAAGACGCTTGTTTTCACCAAAAATAGCTAGCTACTTGTTTAGATGGGTGATGATTTGCCAAGAGTCTTGGATAGAACTTTCTTGTATTTTCATGACTAGTGATAATCTTGTTTATACTCTATTCACACAAGATTAAAAAGGCTTAGAGGCAGAAATCAGAGGAGCACACACAAGGAAAGCCTGGAAATGATTGCATTTAAACAATGATGGGCTGTTGATTCACTACCTTTAGGTTTTCTGGCCAAGCACTTCCAATTCATTTCATAAGATCTCTTAACTACTTAGAAGACGACAAAACCCTAGCACAAAAGAAAACCTCTGAGTGTAATTAGTGTGATCTCCAGTATAACTAGGAATTTCTGAATATTTAGACAGTTCACACGTAGCTTTGTTTTGGTTCCTAAACTCCTACCAGAACAAAACCTTTTGGCACTGGATGGACAAAACTCACAAGTATACTATTAGAACGAGGCATCAAAATGGTGTGAATGTGTATCTACCTAATTAGCACCATGATCAGTTTCATCCTGTTAAGGAATAATTGTTCACTGGCTCCCATTAGTCCTCAGTCAATGGGAAGTAGCACAAAAAGAAACACTTACCAGGTTAAGATTTGCAGAATAAGGAGCAGGGTCCCAGGCAACCAAAATGACATCTTTATACAATGAGCTGTCAATGAAGTGATGGTTGGGGTTTGTCAGAATCTGCAAATACATAGAAAGGGGTTTCTGAACAAGTGCTTGGCTCTTGAAAAGTATACTTTTAAAAGAGATTAAATTTTTACAAAGGAATCAGAGCAAGAAAAAAATGTTCCCTAGACTTTTTATTTTCCTCTTGGGGAAAGAGGCTGTCAGTGTACATGTAAGCACTTAAGGAAATATTTGGAGAAATGAGGATTTTAAAAAACCCCACCAGTTTTTACATTTCAACAAGCATTGTACTTTTATCTGGTGGCTACAAATTGGCTCCTGAGAAGTGCAGGTCCCTAGCTAATTCAGCACCCCAATCTCTTCCACAATTGCTTTGACAGGTAATCTAGAAAGAGTTGCAGGCATGGGTGAATCCAGTTATTAAGGCCTCGCCAGGGTCAACCTCAGGACAAATGGAACAGAGAAAAGTGCTTGCTGATTTCAGCAGCCCCACTGTGACTGTCCACACTTTCAGATCCTCTCTGGTACTGAAGATTGAGAGGACTCATCAGAGACAGAGTGTGGAGCAAACACACAGATCTACTGAAATACACTGCTGAGGGGAGCAGCAGGCGAGACAGGAGAGGTCTGCTGTGCTATGTGGGTCAGCTCCCTGGCTGGGGAACAAACTCATGTCACAATGGCTGACAACAGCTTGGCAGCACTGAGAAATTTAACCCCTGTGTCATCAGGGAGGCCCCAAGATGGACTATTTTTTTTTTTTAAAAGATTTATTTATTTATGCTTACACAACTGCAGAACAGGCCAAAGTGGGGGGTGAGAGGATTTGCCAGAGACGGGGGAGCAGAACAGGCAGACTGATGAAGTACACTGCTAAAAGGAGCAGAGGGTGAGATAGGAGAGGTCTGCTGCGCCATGTGAGTCACCTCCAGGGCCAGGGATCAAACTTGTACTGAAGCAGCTGCGGCCAGCTTGCACTGCTGTTGGACTATTTTTTTTTTTTAAAGATTTATTTATTTATGCATACAGAACTGGGATATAGGCCAGAGGTACAGGGGGGTGAGAGGCTTCACCAGAGACAGAGTGGGGAGCAGAACAGGCAGATGGATGAAGTACAGGAGAAATCCGTTGCACCGTTATTCATGTTTTAATGTTTCTGAAGTTAGGATGTATTATTCAGGTGACATGTATTTTAATTTGTTGGGCTTTATCTCCTCTCTCTCTAAAGCTATTTTAAAATGAATGGTGAATCTTACAATTCAAGGACCTATGAATGAAGTATGACAACAGTTTCGTTCCTTGCTACAGGCGGCCAGGCTCAACTCAAGACACTATGTGGAAAGTTAAGTGTTTGTTCTGCAAGCAACACACTGTCTTGAGTCACCCACAGCCTCATTTATTTTCCTATCTAGTTTAAAACTCTAGAAATTGTGGTTTGTTTGGGAATGATTTTACTGTAAATTTGGAAAACATTTTTATAAAAAATGCAGATGTTTTCATTTTTGATTAAACAACCAATTTTCCCTTTTTAAATTTTCAAATACCACACTAAAGTTTCCAAGTTACCCTGACGCTGGTATTCTGTACCTTTCCTCCCCACTCCCCATTCTCCTTCTCATTGTCATGATTTCATCTAAATTCAACTGACTTTCTTAGTTCACAAAAGGCAGTACCAGAGTCTATACTCATAGGCACCCTCCCCCCTTCTCTATTTACCCTGGCTTTTCCTTTCAATTCTGTTCATTTTTTCCTATTTATGTCATCCATGAATTTCCATTTCCTGCAGTCCTCATTCCCACCCACCCCCAACCCCAATTACAACCCCATAGGAATGAGCAAGATCATGATCGTGGATAACTGGGCAATATCTCTTCCCTTATCCACCAGACTATCTTCACCAATAAAGTGCACCTTCCTGAAAACACTCCATCCGCCTCACCTGGGAATTGATGATGCGCACGGTGGTCTTATTCCCGACATCTTTCTCATAGCCACGTGTAGGAGCAGAGTTAAATCTCAAAACTGCGTCATGAGAATCTAAGGGCACATAAGTGGCACACTTACTGTTTTTCCCTGTATAAGCAACATAATCCAGGAAACAATGTTAAAGCAAATCTTTCAATCCCTAGAGCTAAATGGAACCAGCAGTAACCTTCAGTACGCTGTTTATTTCGAATGAGATACTGGATGCGGGAGATCAACATAGAAACAGAAATCCATTCAATGGTAAGACGTCCTGTATCATTTGAATTGCATTTAAATAACTTGCTAGGTGTTCACATTCTTTAAGAGAGACATACTTTATGTCGTTCCACTAAAGATTCCAAAACAAGGTGGAATTTCTGGGGACAGCCAAGGATGCTATACATGGAGGCACTGGTCTGTGACTTCATACTGTTTGTAGAACATGGAGACTGCTCCTGGTGCATCAAATGCTGCTGCCCACACCCAAATCTAGTCTCTCATTCAGGAAGAGATACAGCATTCAATGCACTGACCACTTTGGGGCTCTGGTTTGTGCTTTCGTTTTAGAAAGCCATCCCTAAATTCTGTGAATCTTTACGTATTGCTGGTGATGAGTGTGAGTTAGGAGAGCAGTCTTAGGTCATTCTGCATTTCCACTAATGGACTGAATTACAGCCTCAGTCCTGGAGGATGGGAGAGGCCCCCAAGGTGCCGGCTACCAACACTATTCCGTGACAGGACACCTTCATTCACTGAGCTTCAACTCCAACATAGATTATGTAGCTCTTCATTTGACTTGAGAGTCAGACTTTTCCAGTTCTCTGAGTGTACAGGTGTAAATAGGGCTCCCATCTCAGGGGGGATGACTGGAGATGAGGGAAGAGAGAGGTAGAGAAAGTGGGCTCACCTGATTAAGGAATGGGGGTGGGGACTTGTTCCTTGTCTACAAAGCATACATCTCTCTTGAGGTCTCCTAAGCCAGTGAGTGAGCTTCCCAGGGACCAGACTTGAGCCAAAGTTACTCACCAATAAAGGAATTTCTGTTAATCATCAATGAAGGAGTTTCTAAGGATTAATTTTTGCTTCAAAAGTTCCTAGCACACTTCAATTTGGATTTGGAGCAATAACAATCACTCAGTGTGTCAGAAAGTGAGTGGATGTGTTTTTGATTTGCCAAAAAGCCATATGGTTAAATGCTGCATTTAGCATGACGTACCCAAGGACGGAAAACAGCTCTCCTTCTCACTGAAGTTCTGCCACCCCTTCATGAGCAGTCTCCTAGAAGGCTCCTCACTTAAATGACAGAAACTCAGCCATGTGTGCCCTCTTAAACCCCACCACAAAAGATGCCTTTCTTGTCAAGCCCTGAAGTCAGAAGAATTCAGATGCCAGTTTTGAGCGCCCAAATGAATATACTTTCAGAACACACAGAAGCACAAAGTTAACTGACTATGCTATTGAAGTACTCTACAGTGTTCTTTTAGGGGAAATTTTGCAGAAGTTGATAAGCTAAGTCCTGCTGTGTGTTTTCATAAATGGGTGGGCTCAATTGTTTATTCATTGTCTGTAATAGCAGCCTTGACTTGAGACCAAAACCCCATGGCTCCCAAAGCCTAAAATATTACCTGGTTCTTAAAAAAAAAAGGTCTGCCAAACTCTGTGGGTTCTAGGCAATCTAGTCTTTATATAAATGGTATCAATATACTGGAACTCATGTAATTTTCTTTACTTATAGATACAAGAAATGGGGTATAGGTCAGAGGTGTTTGTGGGGGGCGAGGGAGAGGATTCACCAGAGAGGAAGGAAGCAGAACAGGCAGATCTACTGCAATCCACTGCTGAGGGGAGCAGCAGGCGAGACAGGAGAGGTCTGCTGTGCCATGTGGGTCAGCTCCAGGAATCAAACTCATGCTGCAGTGGCTGTTGATAGCTTGATGGCACTGAGACCTAATCTCTGTGCCATCAGGAGGCCATGCAATTTTACTTCATAATTTAAGCACTTTTTATTTGTTGAATAGTACTGTTATAAAAATGACTCAGTGATTCATTGACCATTCAAATTATTCTTGAACTAGAAAAATTTTATTACCCAAGTTAGAGGTTCTCATTCTAGTCTCAGGACCTCTTTGCACTATTGAAATTACTGACAACCCACAGGCTTCTTGCTTACTTGGACTCTCTCAATATATATGATATCAGAAATTAAAACAGAAAAAAATTTTACATGTTAATTTGAAAATAACATTCTATATGAAAAATGATGTTTTGGAAAAAATTGAGTTGGCTGGCACTGTTTAAATGTTACACATCTCTTTAACTTCTGGCTTTTCAGAAAATAATTGGTTTCTCATTTCTGCTTCTGCATTCAATCTGCTGCAATTATTTTGTTTTAGTTGAAATACATGAGAGTCAGATACATCACCTAAAATGAAGGAGTGTTTTAAGTCTTTCCAGATTACTGGGGATATTCTTTGATACTTCATCAAAACTTGACAAATGCTAGTTTCTTAAAGGTTAGTTGCAAATTGGACATTAAAAAATATCATTATTGGCCCTCCCTGGTGGTGCAGTGGATTGGAGTGCTGCACTGTGAAGCTAAGCCAAGCTGTGGCTGCTTCAGTGCTAGTTTGATCCTTGCCTGGGTGGGGGTGGGGGGCGGGGACCTACATGGCACAGCAGAACAAACCTCTCCTGTCTCACCTGCTGCTCCCCTCAGCAGTATACTTTGTTGGTCGCCTGTTCTGCTCCCTACTCTGTCTCTGATGAATCCTCTTACAGCCTCTACACCTCTGGCCTGTATCCCACTTCTGCATGCATAAATAAATAAAAGTCTTTAAATAACATTATCGGAAAACTTTTCCTTCTTGGTTGCATTAAAACCCATTCATTTTTCTTGCCAGGCATAATTTTGTAGCAATGTGCAATGATCATTTGGAAAATATCAGTTCAATAAACTCCAGATCTTCCAAATATTGATACATTCATTATAAAGTATCACATAGCATTATGGATCTCATCAGTTTTCAAGTATGGAAAGCTTTCCAGCTAATAGTTGAAAGCTTGAATCCTACCCTTGGCAACAAAAATTGTCAGTTATTTTCCTGTAAGTGACAGGCTCACTTACTTCCTTTTTGAGAAAATCTCTGCCAAAGATCCAAATCTTAATAAAGTATGTCTGTCAGTCATTTATTTCAAGTAAAAATCGCATCTTATGGCAAAAGTATCTAGTTCTGCACAGAAATAACAACAAAGTACTTTTCCATGACCTGACTATACATACACAGAAGGGCTTCTCACTTTACTTCCCACTTGCACTCAAGATTTAAGAAAAATAACCCTTTTTTCTTGCCTCCCCAAGGACACCCATAGTGAAACTGGCATTTTTCCTTGGACCACTGTAATCAGCAGGGAAAAATTTCGAAGACAGTGCAATTTGTGTAATTTGCCCCACTGCCTGACTTGCTCTGAGAAGCAGTGGAAACTGCCATTGCTGTGGCATCACCAGGGAAAAGTCTAGATTAAAAGGCCTCTGAGTATTAGGAAATGTTTCATCTCATGCATCTCCAAAAGGGAATCTGTCCCCACACTGAGTGTGAGCGAGCCACACAGTGCGCACAACTGACCTGGCCACCCCTCTGACAGGCAGAGTGGAGGCTTCAGTGAGATGACCCCTGGGACACAAAGGTCATCAGGATGCCAGGGCAAGGTGATGGCAGCACCTCTCCATCACAGTTCTCCCACAAAATCATGTTGCCTTAGATATGGTCACTGACCAAAAAAGTAAGGTGAATCAGCCCAGGAGCCCAAACAGTGGAGATATTTTCAGTGAATGAAACAGGAATTCCACATTAGTTGCATCACCATGAAGATGTGACACATTTAAATCCCAATGTCCCACACTGAAATGTGTCTGAAGTCTTTGAACAATTTCATACGGCACAGGGCACTGATGTCATCTAGCCAAGACTCCCTGGAAGTAGCTAAAGGAGAGAATGTGGGGGGTTGGGGGGGAGGAGGTAGGAAAGCTGCCCTGCTTGCATGGAGACAACCCTGGCAGTGAGGAGAAGGGGTCTGGGTGGGGGTGTGGAGTGCGCACCAGGAGGATGAGCTGAGAGTGTTTCTATCATGCACATGTGTTTTATAAATACCTGCTTGGCTCTGTATCTCCTTGGTAATGAGCCTTAAAAACTAAGCTGTCCATTCACATTTAGTAAAGAAGGCACAGATTAGACAGCAAGCACGAGGGGAATAAAGTAAAGCATCATTTCTAGAGAAGGCAGTTCCAGGCTAGAGCCATTTCATGTTGACCTTGAGGACAGCTAAAAGCGCATTCACTTAAGGAAGATTAAAACCTTTCAAGGAGCAGCAGCCAAGGATGAAGTCACCGCCCTGTGTCGGGAACTGGGCCCCGAACTGTTCTCCTCCTTTCCTGGGCCCATTCTTCAATGAAATCTGCCACATCAAGGAAGCAAGGGCCTCCACACTTAATGCAACGGCCTCCTCAACAGCAGGTTCATCTGTCTCCTCTGCTGCCTGGCCTGTCTGTTGCCTGGTATGTCTCCTCTCCCCAGGACTCCTGCGCTTGGCTTAATCCCCTGAGTCCTCAAATGTACGTTCTCAAGTGATGGAAACAGACATCTGGTCCCCTGCTTCAAAGATCCCAATGTTACCGCAGCACAGGCCCAAGAGTCAGAGCTGGAGTTGTGGAGACCCAGACTGGGATTTGAGCCAGGCCTACCCCCTATGTCTTTCCTTGCCTCCATTTCCTTAACTGTAAAACAGGAATAATCACCCTTTCTCTCACTTAGGGTTGTAAGACATAACAACAGTTAGCACATAAAAGCATTTAGTTCAGGACCTTGTCTGCAATAAGCAACTTATAAATAGTCACTTTTACAATCATGAAGTGAAGTCTAATTTCTATAAGTGGTACAGAAACATCTTGAGTAACCTTCCCCAATCTTTCCCCTCCCCCCACCTACCCTTGTGTTCCCTGTTGCACTCATCAACTGCACCCCTCACTGTTTCTCACCCAGACTTTGTCTGGATTCCTTTCTTCTGAGCACTCCTTGCTAACCTTCCTCTGAGACCATCAGCCCTCACAATGGGGTAGGATTCTGTCATCCTTTCTTCCCTGTCCTCTTAACCACAGTATTGGAAATGTCTCTTTATAGTCTGTCTGCAGAGGATTTGAGGCTTAGGTCCATGCCTTATTGATCATGTGTCACTAGTAGCTTACACCATATCTGGCAGAGAGCTGGGGAGCAATAGATAATCGATGTTCTGCCTTTTCACTCTTTTTTCCCCCCAAAAGGTAAAGAACAAGGCCAATCCCAAGCTCTCAACACCAAGTCTTATATGCCCATTCCCTTGACACACTCTCTTCCCATCCTCCCTGTTGTCACACAATTCCCAGAATTTGAATTTGTGCACATAGATCCTGCTCTTTGGTACCAAGGCCACTACTATTTGTTTAGAGTAGACAACTCTCCTCCATTGTGTTTCCACAGGGCTACTGGTAGTTGAGCTCACTACCAAATTATTTTTGTTTTTTATATACAGGCAAAGAAAAGACCATCTCATGAATCTAAGAAAAATTTTCCATGTTTCCAAAACAGCTCAGTTTTCTTTTCAATAACATTCAAAGTGGAGGTGTTCACAACTGCTATGCTATTCCTGAAAACCATTACACCATACAGGATTAAGTCAACAGAATGAGAGGATTTGGAACTTGCACTTTCAACGGAGCAACCACCAGAGGGAGCCAGCGGGCAGTCAATGAGCAAATCTGAGCTACCAAGGTCTGAGTAGGGAGAATTCAGGGGACAGTTCAGGTGTGGAGGGGGCCTCCTGGCCAGGCTGATATGGGGCAAGGCTTTGGCACTTTTCTAGGTCTGACTTCAGTTTTCCACAAGAACATGACTATTGTAAATCTTTTGATCTTCACTCAACCAATTGAAGAATAGGTATTTAGGGGACAAGATGAATTTAGCTAAGTAGTAGAGCCTGCTCCACCTTTCATTTGTTTTTATATAAATATTTTGTTTTATTTAAAAATTACTTAATTATTAGGTGTTAATAAACATTATCAGGTTAGTAGGAAGGGAGGAATGTCAGCATCTGACATGCTATAAAAATGCAAGTCTGTTTTTACTAACAGAATTTTACCACAGTTACATATTCTTAAAATGGCAGATTCAGATTCAAAGAATCTGAATCAGATTCAAGGAAACCGGGGCAAAATAAGAGGATTTTTATGAAACAATTTGAATGTGTCTTTCAGATATAATTCTATAGATCCAATCATGAAGCTTTAAGTAGGTGCATAAAACATAAATTAGATTTGAATACCAGAAATAACAAAGATAAAAATGACATGTCATGTTGTCTAGAAACATGTAATTCCAGGTGTCTTTCACAGCCTCTTCCAAATTGTGAATAGTTTACAAGGCTCTTCCAGGGATATTTATGCTGCAGTAAAGAGCAAGGGAATTCTCCCTGACATGCGAGAGCCATCCAAATATGCAAGTACAATGCCAAGGTGTTTAATGTAAAGCAAAACCAGGAGCAAGTTACTGCTTACTTTAAAGCATATGGCTTAAATTCCATCTTCCATTATTAATAATGGTCCTCAGAAACGAAAAAGAACCATGGTGTTCCTACACCCCAGGGACCTGTAAACCACTGCTCTTTTCTACTAATAAATTGCAGGCTGCTCTGCTCTAGCTTTGGTTACAAGTTTATGTGACACACAGACAGTGTTATTACGAGCCTGCTATAATGTCAGCATGGGGACAGAAGAACCCCCGAACTGTGATTTGCTTTCTAATTTTTTACAAATTTCACATTCAGCCTCAATGGCAGAACATGTGAGATAGAGGTCTGGGTTGTGGAACTTGATTACAAAGGCATCTCCTTATTTCAAGATAGTTTTGGAATATCAGCCACTCTTCAAGGGCACTGAACAACAAATAGAACCAAGAGCAGAGGTTACTCCTTTCTATCAACTGGGTAATGCCCCGTGAATGTCACATCCAGATTAGTTATGAACTAACACCGTCTGCTGTGAGGCTGTTAGACACTGTTTGTCTTCTATCTGCACTTGAAACCAAGGCTGCTTCTTGGTACTTAATACAGAAGATGGCACATAATAGCAGCCAAATACATGTTTGTTGAATGAATGGACGAGTGTAAAGGGCTCAGCTGCCTACTTACTGGTGCAGTAATGAATTAGCCCTGGCATTATAGGGATTCTGAGACTTCTTTCAGGCAAAGACTGAAATTGCCTAAAGAAGAATGAATTCCACATCCAGACTGCACAGAACCCTGAATCTCCAGACAGGGAATCTGCCCACAGATTTTAGGCTCCAGCATTTCCAGGGACTGCATCACCAGTCCCTATAACATCAGGAGCACATCCTTTAAAGGAACTGCTCTCTCTATATACAGCCCTGGGTCTGTTTATCTGCAGGACCCTGACTATGAAACAGATGTGCTCCCGGTTCTCTGACATAGATCTGAAAACAGTTGAGGAGGGAAGATGGGGTCACAGGGTATCACCCTGTGACCATTGTGGAGATGGTCTCTGTAGATGTACTGACCACAACCCAAAGGCGGTATCTGTGCTAAAGGCTGGCGTGTGTGAGTGAACTCCTTTTTCTGACAGGAGTATTTTCAACAGCAGTAGGCTTCTGCTCAGAACTCACAGACAAGTTGTCCCTAGAGTAACTGAATGATCACACATACTTCTTGGAATGGACACCCCTACACCCCTCATTGTCTGGGTCCCATGGAAGTCTCCTGTTTTCCTTTGCTGTCTTCCTTCGCTATAGTTTTTTTTTTTTTTTATCATATTATGGGATCACATTTCATCGAGCATGATTTCTACAGGAGATGACTTCTGAGAAGGGGGTGATGAGAAAGTCAAAGGCCTGGCACTGACTTCCCATGCCCCTCCGCACCAATTATGGGAGAACAAGGCTGCTCACAATACCACCTCTGCTGCCATCCCAAATAGATGCTGTCCCAGGGAGGAAAGGGCAATGAAGACTTTCCAGCAGGGACCCCCTATGCTCTGAGATCAGAGCAAGGCTGAGAAAGAACCAGTCCCCAATTATGCCGGGAGCCCAAGACAGTCCCAGTGATGAGACCCACCTATCTCCTTCCCCAGGGACGAGTTGAGGATGGCTCCAGCAGACATGACCACTGCGCAGCTCTTAAGGCCTTGTGGGTGCAGCTGGCTCAGCGGCACGGCGGGGACCAGCTTCTGCCACCCCAGCGCGGAGAAGGGCGCCTCGGTGCCATCCAGGGTCCGCACGCGCACCCGGCCTCGGAGCTGGCACAGCAGCTCCCCGCGGCTCAGGGCGACCGCGCGCCGCCGGCGGAAGCGCACGCCATGCTTGTTGGCACTCAGGTAGTCCTTCATCGCCTTCTGCAAGCGCGGGTTGAGCATTTTGGAGGAGACGTTTCCCTTCCAGAGCCGGTGGAGGAAGGCCCTGGACATGGAGGAGTAGAGCCGGTCTCCGTCTCTGCCCCCCTCCCAGAAGGAGCCCCCTCCCTGCTTGCGGGGCCTCCTCTTTGCCCGCCTTCTCGGGAGCTCTCCAGCCGGCAAAACCCCTCCCCGCAGGGCGTGGTCCCGGGGAGAAAGGGATCCCCACGTGCCCTGCGCGTGTCTGTGTGTTCCTGGCTGACCAGCAGCAAAAAAATAGTCGTCATCCTCCGGGTAGAAAGCACTTTGAGATTTTCTGCCCATCTGGGGCGAAAAGACCTCTTCTTCATTTTCAAACCCATCAGGCACCTCGGCCCATTTCTGCAAGTCACCCCACTCCATGGGAAAGGGGCCGGACAGGGGTCCTTTGTTTGTGTCCAGGCTCTCAGGCAGGGAGGACTCTTGCATGGCGCCCATGATGGCTCTCTGCTTCCCCTGCAAGGGCATGAGCCTCCTGGTCTCCAGGAAGGAGAAGGAGCTGGGCATGGGTTCTGCAGGGTTGCTGTTGGTGAAGTAGATGAAAACCACCAGGAAAAGGAGTCCCCACACAAATATCCCGCAAAGCATTCGTTGTCGCCATTGCTTCAAGTGTGGTTTCATGGTAGGATTCTGGGCCAAGCACTCTAGATCCACAGCAGCCGGGAGTGCAGAGAGCCTGAAAGACAGTGCGTGTGACAGTTAGCCGAGTCAGACACCTGCACAGAGCTGCTGGGGAAGGGGAAGGGGAAGGTGTTTCTGTAAGGGAGCGGGGGAAGTGGCGTCGCAAACCAGATCACCTGAGACCTTAGTTAAATCCAGGTGTTACTTCCCCTCCCACTTCTGACTCTGCAAGTCAGGGGGTCTCACCAGCCTCTTCAGCCGGGTCTCAGAGCTACAGTGGGTGCACATTTGGAAAACCTCTCAGGTAGCTCAGTGACATGTCTGCCTCTCCATCTTGACACTACTTAATCGGGGCCATTCTGACAACCGCTCTTGGCAAGGGGGTTGATAGGATTTCAAAGCAGGAGTTCAGCAGCGCCTGCCCTCGCTAACCAGCTGACCAGGCCACCAGAGGTGCAAAGCTCACATATTGTACAGCAACGCAGCTGTGCATTTCTAAGGGGTGACAACCTAGTTGATTCCTCGTGGTCTTCCCTAGGCCTAGGAGGCATCTGGGAGAGGTCAGAAGTCCACCTGTGGTCCTGAATAAGCAATGCTTCAGTGACCATGGCTGCAGGAGAAATGTTATGCCAATGATTTCCATGGACTTCAACAAAGCCCCAAATAATGCCTTCCTACTTCTGTCACACCATGCGTGTCTCCAGTACAAGAAGAGAGAAGTCTATTGCTATTTAAATAAGGAATAAGATGAGGAGAAAGTTTGCTGATTCAGATGTGCCTCTAACAAAGCAAGCGTGGCAATGGAGGCACAGATGAAAAGTAAAGGAATGTAAGATGGAGAGAGACACTGTCCTCCACCCCTGAGTTTTGCAACACGCTTGTGGGTAGCACAATGCTCAGTACTGCCCGAACAACAAAGCATTAGCAAGAAATGTACCTAAGCTCCAGGAATGTAAGCAAAGCCCCAGAAAAGGAAAACAGAAGATATGTTTGTGGAATAATAATGGAGTTTGCTGACTCTTGAAGCGGAGCACAGAGCCCAACATAGGCCGATACTGAATAAATATTGGTAGAAAAAATAGCAAGAGTCTGTGTTAGTGAGTCGGGGTTGGGGCTGTGTGCTTGTGGTGTTAGAAGAAGCCAGGACCTTCAGGTCACGGGGAACCTGGGGGTCTACTTGATGTCTGGCTGCATGAGAATGGGGAAGGGTGGAGATCTCCAAGCAAGGGAGAGATGACTGGTGCAGGGAGTTTCAGATGAGTCTGCAGCCGGTGAGGCATGACAGGGAGGAGCAGACAGAGGCAACTTGGGTAAGAGGAGGGCACTGGTAGCAGACACTCAGAAAGAGTCTGATGGGAGAAGCTCATAAGGGAAAAATCTGTGTCTCATTCAGTTTTCCCCTGGCATTGCCTGGCCACTACTAAAACACAAAGGCCAGGAATGCAATGGTTGGTATATTGACTCAGCTAAGAAATCCAAATAGTCACCTCGGGAAGCTGTGCACTGTCCTTGGTGAATAAATGTCACCTGAAAGTACCACCTCAGTTTTGTGGCCTCACAGTCAATGAAAGATACTCGTCTTCCGATTTGAACATCTTCGCATGGAAAGTGGGATGTGTTTCCACCCACAAAATGGAGGGCTTGTGAGCAGATTCAAGCAGGACCAGCAGTCTTCCCCTCTCGGGAAAGCCAGCTACAGACAATGCAGTCTCCCTGGCCTGAGCCTGCCAAGCGTGAGGAAGTCTGAGCCAGTCACAGGGAAACATCATGGGCAGAGATTCAGTGGTTGCAGCCATCCCAGCCCCAGCCCCGAATGTGGGCATGAGGATGTGCAACCCAGCTGAGCTGTCAGATGACTCCAGGCCCCGCCAATCTCTCACTGAACCTCAAGTGAGAACCCGGCTGACCCCATCAACCCACAGAAAAAGTGATAGTGACAGATTGCTCTTCTCAACCACTATAGCTTGAGGAGATTTGCTGGACAATCCCATGATCACTGGGACAGGCTCTAATAAGAAGCACCGTATAAGAAGTGCACCAGATGCTCCGACAATGGCAATAGCCATGTGATGAGGGTTACCCCCAGAGGGAGTCTATGGGAAGCAATGTTCACTTCAACATATAAAGCTTTGACTTTTATTTTCTTTTAAATTTACTAATTTACATATCTATTTACATTGCTGTTCATTTAAAAATGTTTACTTTCCCCCTCCCCCCAATCTGCTCACACATCATCATCACAGTCCCCACATTCCTCCCTCCCACCTTCTGATTCCTCTGCTTCCCACTCCCCTGTAGATACATCTGCTTATAACTGTCTGTTTGGTTTTGATTTGTTGTGCTTTGTAATAACAGTATTATTCCCCCCCCCGCCACCGCATCTTATTTGGTTCTCTTACATTCCTCCTGTAAGTGAACTATTTGATTTGACATTTTATTTTTCCTTCAACTTCACTGAGCATGATCCCTTCTAGTTCCATCCATGTTGCTGAAAATAGTACAAGTTTATCTTTTTATTTGCCGAGTAGTATTCCATCATGTATTTATAACACATGTTTTGATCCAATCATCTAATTTTGGGCATTTGGGTTGTTTCCAAGTTTTTCCTAATGGAGTGCTGTAATAAACACAGGGGTGCATGTATCCTTTGAATTAATATTTGTGTGTCTTTTGGATAGATCCCTAGAAGTGGAATTGCTGCGTCATATGGTATAAAGCTGTGGTTTTTAAAGGGTTTAGTTTACCATGCAGTCACATGAGACACCAAACACAGGTAACCACAGCATACTCTCCCACGCCAGGAACACTGACACCAAGGAATGAACTTGGAAGAAACAATACTAGTAGTTGACATGCTACCAGCCAGAAATCATGCTGTGCATGATTTCACGCAGTCTTCTTATGGCCTAATAAGGTAGGAAACAGTGCTAGATGCATTTTCTAGATGAAGCCTTGAGAAGTTAACATCCCAAAGCCACAGAAATAGCAAGCAGCAGACACTGCAAACAAACCCATCTGCTTGACTTAAATCGAAGTTCTGATTTCATCTGGTCACAGCAACTGAGCTACATTTTCTAAATAAAGTTTTTTTTAAAATACTTTTTTTTTAAGATTTTTATTTATTTGTGCATACAGAACTGGGGTACAGGCCAGAGGTCAGGGGCGGCGAGAGGCTTCACCAGAGACAGAGTGGGGAGCAGAACAGGCAGATCAACGAAGTACACTGCTGAGGGGAGCAGCGGGCGGGTCAGGAGAGGTCTGCCACGCCATGTGGTCACCTCCGGGGCAGGCGGGAATCGAACTCATGAGAAGTGCCTTTGGCTTCTCAGTGCTGTGCTTTAACCCGCTGCACCACCAGGGAGGGCCCTAAATAAGTTTTTTTAAACTAGCTGTAATAAAGGACCAGTTCCCTTCCAAATTGTCATGGTGTGACACTTGTGTATCATTCATCCCTGTCTTGGTTGAACCCAATTGCTGCAAAAGTTTTCAAAAGTTTCTATCAAGTCCTCTATAGATTTCATCAGGAAATGATAACAGACAGTTTACAGATGTGCATAGTCTGGAGACCACACTTTGAGTAGCATATGCTAAACAATTTTTCTAAACCTGTCCACTCAGGAGACAGTGCTTCAATCTGTTGTGCCCAACCTGAACATTTAGAAGCTGTTTTCGGTATTTCAACATTTCTACTAGAAATCAGAAAATTACCTTTAATAACAGTTATTCTGCCTCTACCCCACTGAGTACAGTGCTATACATTTCTAACCCTAACTACTAAAATTAGTACTGTGCTTAGTACTACAGGAAGCAAAGCATTAATGAGAAATGCACCTAAGTTAAATGAGTCCCACAAGACTGGCCCCACTTCTGACACCAGCCATAAGTGGGGTTCCCAAGGCCTCCTTACTTCTGGCCACTTGGCTGCCAATCTGGGAGGTTTCCACAACTCCCTTTAGGCTTGGTCATTTGCAAGATGACTATCAAGACTCGAGAAAGTACTACACTCATGATTAGGATTTTTGTAAAGGAAACCATGTCATTTGAGACCTAGGTATGTGGGCGAGTGGGGTTTAAACACTGAGATCCCAATCCCTTTCCTGGGTGCCAGGGGAGTTCGCCCTGTGAGGGCATGGATTGACTGGGGTTTTATACTGAGTAACTGCATTACTGGTCTTCCAACTGAGTTCAATCTCCAGTCCCTCCATTCTGGTGAGGCTGGTCCCAAGTGGCCCAATCTTCTTATCTCCTGCTGGGTCTTTCTGATGAATAGCCAGTGGTCTGAAGCTCTTGAGAGGCCTTATATCTAATTAGCAAAACTGATTCCCATCACACAGGAAATTCCAAGGACTTTATAAGCTCCCTGTTAGGAACCTCAAAGACCAGGCGCATTATTAGAACCCAACAAGGCAGTAGTAACTAATTTAAAAGACAGTCTGTCTCTCTCTGGAAATTCTTATTACCTGGTTCCCCTGCACTGAATACCAGTGCTCAGGTCCTACTCTGGCAGATTACCAAAGAATTGGAAACAGAGGTTTCTTTTTTCAGCATTTGCTTGAGAAGCGATTTTTCTTCAACACAATGTCAAAAGGTGAAGTAGTACACATCGAGTGGTAGAAGCTGAAACAGAAAAAAAGCCTTGACTTGGGGAGAACAAGAGCTCTCTGGCCTCAGGGCTTGGAGATGTGGCTGGTGCCCACCATGGCAAGTGACCCCAAACTCCCTCAGTTCAGCGGGGTCAGAAAGTTGCAGGAACTGGAGTTGCTAAATCCCGAGGCAGAATGGAGCATCGCAGACAGACAGACCTCATTATATGGAAATTCTGACTTCCCAATTGAAGTCATGTGGAACCTTTATCCCCGCTGTAGGGAGATGACAAACATGAAAGGCAAGGGAAAATAATGACAAGGAATTGGGGGACACAAAGAAAGAAAAGGAAAAGCCTAGTAGGATAGATGCAGCCTGCTGTGGGGCCAGGACCATAGAGCAGATTTGTTCTCTCTTCATCCAGCGTGCTGGCAAGTAAAAAGGGTGGGTTTGTCAGCCCTTGGAGCACTG